GGAAGCAAAGGAAGGTGTTTTTCTTCTATTTTTACTCCCAAAGAGTTTTCTGTAGTCTACAGGTCCTTTCTTCAGGAGTGTGTGTTGGGGAGGTGGAGGGGAACAGCCCACCTCATCCTTGTTCCCCCCCACCCACCTCTGTGCCATGGCCTCCTTGCCAAGCAATCAAGAAAGATGGCAGATGGAAGCAGGAGGGTATGGAGAGCTTGCCCCTCAGCCCTGGAACCAGCAGCAGCCAGATGACATGCAGCCAGGGAAGCCAAGAGGCATAAGAGCCTTGGCCTGCAGAGACCAGGCCCCTCCCACAGAGCTCCTCTTTCCTTTTGAAAAACACAGACATGGAGACTTTATGTCTACAGACACTGTGGACCCGAATCTGACAGGAAGGCACACTTGGAGATGATGGCATCGTTAACACCAGCTTCAAATTGACGTAAACCTAGAGCCGCCTGGAAAGAGGGAACCTCAGTTGAAGAGCTGCCCAGATCAGGCATGTCTGTAGGACATTTTCTTAATTGCTACTTGATCCAGGAGTACCCAGCCCACTGCTGGGGATGCCAGCCCTGAGCAGGTAGTTCTGGGCTGTATAAGAAAAGTAGTGGAGCAAGCCAGAGGAAGCATTCCTCCACGGTCTCTGCTTGAGTTTCTGAATGACTTCTCTCAGTGATGGACTATAATCTGTAAGATGCAGTAAACCTCTTCTTCAAGTCTCATTTGGTCAGAGTTTCATCACAGCAATGGAGAAGCAGGCTAGAACAGACCCCAAATGCAAAAGAAAAGCCTGTCTTCTCCCAAGTCATGCGACCTCCCCTTGCTGACCATCCCTCCCAAAGGACCCTTCACCATGGGTCCTGAGCTGGAGACAGTCAGTTCAGCTTCTCCCTCTAGAGTCCAACCTCTGTGCAAACGCAGTGTGTGTGTGTGTGTGTGTGTGTGTGTGTACACGCGCGCACACTTCAGCTTGCCCCAGGCTGCCAGAGGAAACAATCTCACATGTAGTAGCAGATCTTAATACTCTTCATTATCCCAAGTCACCTTCTGAGGCATGTTTTGGTGTCAAGTGAGTGTTGGGGAAGCTGTGATAACTTACTAAGAGTGTGACACGGAAGAGCGTGATTATCAGGTGCGTCAGAATGGGTCCCTGGGCCTTCCTCCCAGAATACTACTCCTCTAGCAGTGGCTCTGGCATGGAGCAGGCCCTATATACACCTAGGAATCGCTCGCATCCCGCCACCGGCAGCTACCCTGACTCTCACGGGCAACGGCGGGAAATCCCAAAAGCATCCACCCAGCCCAGCAAGCACCAGGGTTGGAGGAAGGAGGGTGAAGCAGAATATAAAAATCAAAAAAAGAGACCCTGCCGCCTCAGACAGCAGCGGACTTCAGAGAGGCAGCAGAAAACAAGATGTTTAGGCTGCCTGAATGTTTCATGAACCTGTGAAAATATCGGGCTGCTTTGGAGAATAAGGGGTGGTAGGCAGCTAATCAAAAAGATGTTGGTGCAAATGGGAGGTGTCTGCGAAGCTGTGGCCCACGCAGGCAGGAAGACCTGCAGCAGGCGAGGACGCCGGGGAAAGGCGGGCTCCCCGGCAGAAACGGCTCCATGCAAGGGGGGGGGGGAGCTTTGGAGATGGTCTCCTCCCTCCCCCTTCACTTGTTTAAAAATAAAAAATTCCTCTCCGTGCGTCAGCTGCGTGCCAGGCTCCATTTGTCTTTATAACAGAGTACCAGGCAGGAGTGAAGGAGATAAATAAACACAGAGAGACAACCGACCAAACCTCACTGGCTCACCGATGGACTGGGGGAGGTGAGCCTCGTGCCGCAGTCACTGAGAAATAACATTTCAATCTTGATCCATGTCCACCGACAGATTCGCCTCCCCTTACTGCCCCGATTATCCCCCTCCCTGGTCGTCCATGTTCCCCCAATAGTCTCCCCTACACACACACACACACACACACACACACACACACACACACACACACACACACACACTTCTGTGTTTGACAGATGCTCTACTGGACCAAGCCTTCCTGTTCAATCCCACAGTCTATCCAGGTCCAAAAGATGTCCTGCACTGTGGGGGAGGGAAGGGCAAATCAACCAGACCCTTACCCTGAGGAGAAGGGCCTAAGCAACCCAGCAAGGGAACAGGATACCCATCCTGTTCATCCCCAGACATCCAGTCCTTCCTTCTCTCTTGAGTGGCTGCACACTGGGGAACGGTTCCCAGGAGGCCTCCTTGCTGTAATTACCTCTGCGATGGCCTGGATTGCCCTGACCCTGGTGACACAGGGTCTCCCCCTCTACCCTCCAAGCAGGGTAGAGGACCAGCATGCCTTGTCTCAGTGGTCCTAGGACACAGGCAGAAGTGGCAGGAGAGTGGAACAGGGGCAGCTAGGCCCTGGACCTGTCCTTGGTGCTGCCGCCCTCTGCGCGGCTGCGTGCAGGTCGGCCTTCGCTCACCCAGACCAGCTGCGGCTCTGCCTGAGGTCGTGGAGCTTTTGCAGGGAAGGCAAAGAAATAACATTGCTGGAGGCCCGACCTATAGGGACTTTCCTAGACTTCGCCATCTTCCTATGTCTTAGGCGACCTGACTGGGGGTGGGAGGGGGGGAAGAGGAACACTTAGGTATCTCTTAGGCGCAGGCCTCAAGGAGGACAGCACAGAGTAATTGTCCAGGTTCTCTTTCATTGGCAGGAATGAAAAGGCGAGCAGAGCCGTGAGAAACGTTGATTCTGTACCAGAAATCCTCAATGGCTCTGTGCAAACATCCTGCACCACCTGGCCCACCCTCCCCTGGCACTCAGTTGCCTCCCTATAAGCATCTGATGGGGCCTGACGTGCCCCCTGCAGCTCTGCCTCTGCTCTCTAGTCTCTTGTAGGCTCCCCATCTATCCCCTCTCCGTCATCCGCGTGGGGACAGCCCAGCATTTCCAGAAGCTCCAAGTTCTAGCCGGGAAAGGAGGGGTTAAGCGCTGCTTCTCCGAGTGTGCAGTGCGCTCAGCTCCCACGCAGGGAGGCCTCTGGTCCCCCCGGAGGGCGGAGGCGGCTGTTCGGTCCTCCCTCCGAGCCCAGGGGAGCTCCCTGCCCGCAGGAGATGGAGGCACCCCCTGCCCCATGCGCCCACCCTGCAGCGGCCCTGGCCGCCTGGCAGTCACCAGCGCCCCGCTTCCATCAGCTGGCACCTTCTCTACAACTTTCTCCTTCCCAATAGTCGCTCACCTGGAGGGTCTGGTTTTAATTAGTGTAATATCCCCGTTACCAGCTCGGTCTGATTAAGACATCCGCCCCGATCCGCGACTCGCACTTAATGAGCACGTTCTGCCGTAATGTTTGTACTCCCCCCCCCATTTTATTTTGCAGACCAGTAAAACCAAAGCTGGTTTCTGCTGAAAGATCTCATTACCTGAGACCCTACTCCATTAGCCCCATACCTGCCCGGACGCTCTGGGCCCCCAGCCTCCCCGCTGCGTCCCGAGGTGTTCCCAGCCTAGCCAGCGTTTGTGACAGAAAATCAACGACCCTGCGCGCACCAGAAGGCACTTCACCTCCAGCTGGAGGAGGAAGGGACTTGCCCAGAAGGAAGGATCCCTTAGTCCCGAGCCTTAGCTTCCACTGTGGGTGTCTGTCGCGCGCGTCAAGAGACTACGGGCGCCACTGGCGTCCTTTTTAAAAGTGACCATTAAATAATTAGGTGCCTCTGAGAAGCAGAATCCAAAAGGGGGAGCTGGGAGGTGGCTCTACCATCCAGGACTCTCCTCACCTCGATGCGCTCCCCCCAACACACACACACACACACACACACACACACACACACACACACACACACCAGCCGACGACGACGTCAGTGGGCTTCAGTAACAGCCAACCCCCAACCTCATGTGAGACCCACGATCCTGAGTCGGCTCCAGCTATCTAATGGGGTCTCAATGCCCCTCTGGTGGCCGTACCTTTCTCTGGGTACAGACTGGGTGCGGGACCAAATCGGCCAGGACACTGAGGGGATGCGTGTCAATGAATAAGAGCGAAGTTTCCCCACAGAGGCCCCAAATGAGCGCCCACCTGAAGTCAACCCCTGACGCCACTCTCCCGAGGAGAGCCCCAGGCGAACCTCACCGCCTTCTGTGGCCACTCAGAAAGTTTGGGCAAGGGGTGTGCAGGCCACCTTAGCAAAGCTTCCCTAGCCAGGCTGTCCCAGCCCTGTAGCTGCGCTGAAGCAAGCAGCAGCCTCAGATCCATGCTCACGCTGCCGCTGGGAAGACTCAGCCCCGAGCGCCCCCAGCTCGCGGGCTGGAGGGCCCTGCGCACCATCCGCTCCCGCTGCTCGGTTCCACGCACGCCGGGGCGCTGCGGGCCCTAGTACCCCCAAGGGAATCAAGGGAGACCTTAGTTCTCCCACAACTCCTTAGCGTCTTAGTCCTTCGGTCGGTTCTCCTCCCGCTGGACCCCAGCAGCCCTTCCTGGCCTGGGAGTGGCAAGAGTCTCACGCCGCAGCGCAGCAGGGTCGCCAGCCCCGCTTCCAGCCGCACGGGTTGGGGCTGCCTCCCAGATGCACCCCGCGGGCCGGGATCTCCGCGCGCCACGGCTTCCCCTAGTCTGGGAGTTCCCAGAGCCGGGCATTGTGCCGCCGCCGCCGCCGCCGCCACGGCCACGCAGCGCGCGGGACTCCCCGGTGTCTCCATGGAGCCTGACCTCGGGCCTTCCCATTCACAAAATCTCCCCTCTGGTTTCCCGGCTGAGCCGGGAGCCGCGACCTCAGCCCCCGCAGAACTCGGAAACCCCGACCTCGCACGCGAACCCCTGACCCCCAAGGGCGCCACCCTTTCCCCATGCGACCTCAGGTCTGTCCCCTGTCTCGCTCCACAGCCCCGCGTCCTCGCCGGCCCCGCCTCCCACTGCGGGGTCCCGCGCGCCCCTCCCTGGGCCGTACCCACAGCCCCAGCCGCCTCCTCGAGATGGTCGTGACCGAGGTGGAAGCCCAGGGTCTGGCTACTCACGGGTTCAGCGCTCCCCGCGGCAGGTGACGGGGCCCCGGCGGCCATGCCCCAGCTGCATCCCCGCTGCCCCGGCAAGCCGGAGGCAAGGGACGCGAGAGGCCGGCTTGGAACGGTGGCTGCGGCGGCGGCGTCTCCGGCGTCCACAAGAGCTGCTGGGGCTGGTGCCCGGCTGCTGTCCGAGGAGGTTTCCGCTGGCTGTAGAGGAACGGCTCCTGCTCCGTGTCCCCGCTCCGCTTGCCTCGCCGACTCTCTCTCTCTCTCTCTCTCTCTCTCTCTCTCTCTCTCTCTCTCTCTCTCTCTCTCTCTCTCCCCCCCCCCCCCCTCGTTCCTCTGGCTGGCTCGGCTGGAGCGAGAAGGCAGCAGGAGCACGCGGCGGCGGTGGCGGTGGTGGTGGTGGTGGCGGCACAGGGAGAGCGCGCAGCTCTGCGAGGGAGGGAGGGGGCTCCAGCGGTAACACGGCTAGGGAAGGCAGCGGGGCAGGGAGGGCCAAGAGCTAACGGAATGTGGCCACAGGAGCCCTGGAGTCACAGCTCCAGTCTCGTAGAACAGGGATGCGTAGGGTGGTACGACTTGCAGGGTACCCTAGAGCCCAGTGGCAGCTGGGTTCTTTCGAGCGCCGCCCCCTCCCCTCCCCGGGGTCCCACCTCCCCTCCCTCCTTCCCTTCCTCTGAGCGACCTCAATGTGAGTCAGCCCTAACGACACTTAGCAGGACCCTTGCACCCCCATCCCGTTGGGATTGTTTTCTCTTGCTCTACCCAGGGTCCCTAGAAAGACTTGGTCGCTGAGCGGCAGGAATGAATGTCCCCCTCCCCCACACCTCTCCAGCCTGTCTGCTATGCCCGCGCCTCCTAACTGGCCGCTAGGGAAGACCCTTAACAGGCCTGGAGTTTCATGCCTTGCCTTCCTGAGAATCACAGCAAAGGGAGCAAGGAAGCCTACCCCGGAACAGGACACGGAGAGGGTGGTATACTTGTTCCCGCTGACAATGCGTGCCCTTAAATATTCCTATGGCCTGAAATCAGAAGAGTGTAAATTATAGTTCCCAGCCTCCCCCAACCCAGAGAAAGGGAGCCTAGCATAGGGTCCGAGGTCTGGCATCTCTAATCCTGGAAAGGGAGAGAGGCTGGGCAGAGAGCAGCTCCTCTGGGGCCCGCATGATGAGGCCCAGGTATAACAGTGGGGTCCCTGGCACTCAACTCCAAAGGTCAGCAAAGGGTCTAGACGGTTCCCAAAGGGTTGGACTAGACCTGGCTACTATGCTAATCTAGAAGATCAAAGTAAAAAGCAAGCACCATGCATGCAATGCCTGGGCTGGGGGACCTGCACTCTCAAGGGACATTGCCAGTCTGAAAACAAACAGATCAAACACCGTGCTCCAGGTTGCTGGATGCTGTTTCTAGAACAACCATCTTCCTCTTGCTCCTAACCACAGCTTTCAGTCTGAGGCCCACATCATGGAAGCTGGGGCTTTGTGGGCAGGGGGACTAGAATGGAGGGGTGAGCAGGGCTCTGGGCTGCTCTCTGGCTCTGGGCTGCCTTCCTGGAAGAGCCAGGCTGCCTGCTCAAGGCCTTTTAATTTCTAGTCCTACGGCCTGTCGGGACCATTGATCCGTCTTGCCCAGTGGGAATCATATACTTCAGGAGAAAGTGAGAGAGCCTAACCCTGCAACCAAACTGGCTTGTCTCTGGGACAATCATGGGGGTGACTGAATGTACCCAGCCCCAAATTTGAGATGGCACAGCCCTGCCCCCACAGACCAACTGTTTCTCTCTGTGTGATCAGGTGACCCAAGCTTTCATAGCCGGTGACTGCTAGCTAGGCCCATCCCCACCACCTGGTTCACCTGTCTCTGCTCCCTGAGCCAACAATGTCTGCCCCTCCAGGTTCTTCTACCCTGAGAGCCCACCTATCCCCCTTGGCCCAGTTCCCACTGCCCTTATGGTCCTGTTCTTAGAGGCCTCCAGAGATCAAAGTCTGGCTCCCCATACCGCACTACGTGCCGGGGAATATTACCTAGAAAATCTGTGAGCTTCAAGTGGAGGGGCCCAGGACAGAAACTGTCGTCTCTCACCTGCTTCTGGAGGCCGTTCCCAGAAAGGTCTGCAGATGGCATCAGGCAGGTTCCAGCCAACATGGAGCAGGCAGCCACTCAGAAAGCAAGGTATTGAACTGATGCTGCTCCCCCAGCCTGGGACAGCCACATGGCCTGCCCAGTAGGTTAACCCTCAGAAACAGGCCCTGGGGTACGTGTCCTGCAGGCCCAGCTGCCATCAAAGGGTGGGCAGGGCCTATGTATCCATCGGGACTAACCAAGATGTCTTCCCCCTAGCAATCACCCAGGAGAATTTTGTTTTTAAACTAATTGGGGGGGGGGGGGAGACATGGGTGCCAGATGAATGTCGTGCCCTCAGAGACCACAAGAGGGAATCACATCTCCTGGGGCTGGACTTAGAAGCAGCCATGAGCCTCCTGACTGGATGCTGGGAACCAAACGCTGATCCTCTGGAAGATCAGAATGTGCTCTCAACCACTGAGCTATCCCCTTGTAGGGAAGAACCAAGAAAAGGAAAATCCCCGCCATGGTCACTAGGAAGGAAGCAAAGATGGCTCCACTCCAGCTGTTAAAACCATGCAGCTCGGCCTCAGGAAAACTCACCACGCCACAAAAAGAGACTTTTTCAAAGTATTGTGCTTGTCAACCTGACAGGATGTAGAAGGAGCTAGAAAACAGGCGTCCGGGTGTGTGTAGGAGCCTCTAAAGCAGTGGTTCTCACCCTTCCTAACGCTGGGACCCTTTAATAAGTTCCTCACGTTGTGGTGACCCCAACCATAAGATTATTTGTGTTGCTACTTTATCACTGTAATTTTGCTACTGTTATGAACCGTAACGTAAATATCTGGTATGCGGCCCCTGTGGGTTTGCGACCCACGGGTTGATAACTGCTACTCTAGAGGGAGTTGATTTGTGAAGATCCACCCCCATATGGTTGATTCTATCCTATGGACTAGGGTCCTCCATTCGATCAAGAAGAGGAACGGAGCTGAGTGCCAGAATTCATCTCTCTCTGCCTCCTGGCTGAGGATGTGGGGTGACCAGCCGCTCACACGCCTGCTGCCATGCCCTCCCCACCATGGTGGGCTGCACCCCCAAACTGTGAGTCATGGTAGACTCCTCCTTTGAGTTGCTTTTCTCGTGTATTTTGGCACCATACATGATGTCATACATGTCCTCATACAAGCAATGAGAAAAATGATTACTGCTGCTCTGAACCCCTCCCCACGAGCCTGTGAGTGGAGCAGAGGAGACAACCACGTACTGTGCCTTGCTGGAAAGAAAGGACTGGAGGCAGGCTAGGGATCTGGGCTGAGTCCTGCCTGCTCTGGTTACAGACCAGCATCAGAGTCCTAAATGCCTGGGAAGCCAAGGGCCCCACTCGGCCCCACAGGCCAGATAACCTGACCTCTCTGGATCAGGAGCCAGGGTCTGTCCTTGGGACTCTGTCCAGCCACAGAGAAGAAACATACACCTACCTTTAGGACTCTAGACCAGAAGCACCAGGGCTCAAGCCCCACTAACACTGAAGGTCAGCTCTGCAGGCCCCTCCCCTAAAGCTGAGAGCCCAGGCTCAACAGAGCTCTAAGGACAGCCTCTGGAAAAGAAAACCACCAAACAACTCCTCCGGAGGGAGGAGATGATGGGGTGATGGGGGGGCTTGGAGGAGACAGACATTGGGCAGGGAGGAGAAAATATCAGAAATAGACATATTTAATATCCTCAAAGAGATCAGAGGAGATATTGCAACCAGAACCAGGAGCAGGATGCTATTTTAAGAACATTTAGAGAACAAAAAAGGCCGGGGAATTAAAAGCATGCGAGCCGAAACAAAAAAACTCAGCAGCAGACTGGTTGGAAGATAAAAGTAACCGAACGCTCCAGAAAGCAAAGCAGAAAGACAAAGGGGGAAACAAGAAAGGAGGAAAAATTAGATGGTGCGCTCATGAGCGCTGGCATCTACACAAAGGAGCGGGAGAAAGAGGGAGCATCACAAATTATTTAATTCAAGAAATTTCCCACACAATGGATAGGAATTGACCCACGTCAAAGTATATTCTCACGAATGCAAAACACTGAAGATGAAAAGAAAAAATAAATCTCAAGTTTTCAGGTTCCATGAAAAACAGCAAGAATAGGCATGGCTCCAGGAGTCTCAACAGGGCATACTAACAGATACCAGATTCCTGAGCTATGCTTTCAGATACCGGCAGGTAGCGATTTCTGGTCCAGCATCCCTTGCTTAACCTGCACAATCAAACATGAAGTCAGTCAGAAAAAAGACACTCACACAAGCAATGCTGCAAAAAAAATTTCATTTCTTAAGCACTATTTCCAAACTACTACCGGATGTGTTCCAACAAAACAAGGGAAGAATGCATGGAAGAGATCCCACTGGATAGATGAAGCAGTGATTCAGTAAGTCACAGACTGGAAAAGGGCTGGCTAGGGGCAGGCAGTTCTGTACCAGGCAGGAGGTCGTTAGTCCCGGTGAAAACAGAGAAGCTGCACAGCTAGCCCTCCGGTGGATCTGCCACCCACTGCCACGATCTACAGTCACCATCCACTGCCACTGTCCACAGCTATGGTCCACTGCCGCCATCCACGGCCACCATCCACAGCCACCATCCACTGCCACCATCCACAGCCACCATCCACAGACACCATCCACAGCCACCATCCACGGCCACTGTCCACAGCCATTATCCACAGCCACCATCCACAGCCACCGTCCACAGTCACCATCCACTGTCACAGTCCACTGCCACCATCCACAGACACCATCCACAGCCACCGTCCACAGCCACCGTCCATAGCCATTGTCCACAGACACCATGCACGGCCACCATCCACAGCCACCATCCACATCCACCAGCCACAGACACCATCCACAGCCACCATCCACGGCCACCATCCATGGCCACCATCCACCTCCACCATCCACAGACACCATCCACGGCCACCATCCACAGCCACCGTCCGCAGTCACCACCCACTGCTGTCTCAATACCAAGTAGACTTAGCCTGGGTTCTTCTCTGCCTATATCCATGCCAGTATCAGCTCTAGGCCGTCACTTAAGCCCTCAGAAGTGTCCTGCCTTAATCTATTCTTGGAGACAGGAGACTGATCACAGTGGACAGAGAAGGAGACAAGTAAACGACATCCCTCACAATGTGGCCAGCATGGGCCTCCATCCCCACGGTCCGCCTCTGTGCTCATTCTGTCCTCTTAAGGGGCTGTGCTGGGCAATCCCATTAATCTGACTGGATCCAGAGTCATCTATCACAAGCTGTTGTGTGCTCCCATGAAGAAGGAAGCAGAAGGAAGCCCCTCTCACCTGCTTGCTCTCTCTCGCTGCTCCATCTATACTGATGCGTCTGCATCCCTTAACTGATACAAGGGGCCAGCTTCTTTGAGCTCCCACTGTAGAGTGAAGCGTCAGGAACTCTCAGGCCTCTACACCAG